AGGAGCAGAGGTGGCTCCACCTTCTGCTCTTCACCCTAGAATTCGAAGAGCAACTGACTTGTCTCTAGGTCTTTAAAGCTTAAAATCCCAGGGGTCAGATCCTCAGCTTGTGTAAATTGTCTTAAACCAGCTGAGGATCCGCCCCCTGTTTTAAACTGGTCACCAAGAGTGAACCAGCCTGAGGGTCCCAGCTCGCTGTGTTTGGTGTTGCCATCATGCTGCCATCAGTGTGGTCCTCAGCTGTAGAATGTGGAGTTAGCTGATAAGAAAAGTCTAGTACGTTGGTTCTTTTATTTACTGTTGCTTACACGTGGCCATTCTGTTGGCCTATTATTTTTATAAAAATAAGTTTTTAAAAGTTGAGCAGCTGGCGAAGCTGATGTGCAAATACGGGCAGGAATTCCCAGTGAGGAAAGGATAGGACAGAAACAGCCCTGCCTTTATGTTCTGCATTTGTGGTCTGTGTGTGCCACTGGCCTTGTGCTGCTCTAGGCCACTCTAGTCCCATTCAGCCCCATCCTGCAAGATGCTGTGTCCCTCTTGTGACGAGCTGAACGTCCCCAGCTCCCACTGACTTAGTGGGAGTGGAGGCAGTTCAGTGTCTTACAGAACTGGGCAGGGAAGCAGGTTTCTAATGAAGAACACAACCTTTCCGTTTAACAAGAGTGCTCAGAACTGCCCATATAGATAAATATACTGTACCCACAATATACATACAGAGTTACACCCACAGTGCTCCAACAGCCATTGAACAGACCAGGCTACATGAGTAGTATACTGTATGCTCCCTTATACAGAGCTCATATCTTACTTGATATTTCTGTATCTTTGTCCAGAGTACGTAGAACTCCTTCAGTCCCAGTTTACCGCTTCCATCCAACTGCAGGAAGAGTTAAGGGAACCTCTTTGGATGGCAGGAAAGAAATGTTTTCCCTCCTCTACATTAGGTTTGCTGTAATATAACCTCAGCACTGCTTTTCTGATGTCAAATTTAGAGAAGGATTCAAATCATCTTGTGATGCATGGCTTACTCTGGCTCATCCTGCAGGATATAGGGACTCTTCCTCTGTTTCTTCAGGTTGTGTTTTAAGTTTCTAAATCAACTGTTTGGATGAATTAAATCTGAACCTCTGAATATTTCCCCAAGCCTTTTCAGTGCCTCCCACAGGTAATCTCTAACTATTCAGCATGTGTACCGAGAGGATGCCATTCTGTTCCGCAGCGGGGGTTCAGCTATTGATGGAAATCTGAGTCATACTCTGTTTGGATTCTAAACAGAGACATAACCAAAAGCAAGAGCTGCTGTTTACAGAATTTGTAGTTCTTCAGAAAACCCCTAACAAAAGAATCCCAACATCACTGTCTGTCTGTCACTGTCTGTCTCTCTTACTGTAACTACAACTGTGGAATCCTGGGCTCTGCCACATTTTACAACAAATTACAGGAGAGCTTCATTTTGTTTGGTATTTTTCTTTTTCTAACCACATTATTCTCAAACCTGTAATGGTTTAAAAGATCAAAAAATCTCCCTCCTCTCCCCCCAGTGAAACTGAGCATGGCTATCACAGTAGATTTCTTCCTAGGGCATTGGGCTCAGAAAAACAATGTATTGTCTGGGGAGAAGTTCTAGGACTGTGCTTCTAGTTTGTTTCCCTTGTTTTTAACAGTGAAATCTTTGTGATTCTTACTATGTTCTGGCCAAATCTGACATGGTGGGGTCTGAATACCACAGGATTGAATGTACTGATTTCCTCACTTCTAATATGCATGTTTAGGTCCTCTAAATGAGCCCATGCTACTGATGCCATGTTGGGAGCCAATTTTCCTAGGCTGTTGCCAGCCAGACCACACATGTAGCATCAAGGCTGGAATTCGGACAGGATCTTCTGCTCTAAAAATACAGGCTCCCACTGCAAGAGATACTGTAGCTTCAGCATTAACTGGCAGTACTATTAACATCTAGAGTCTCTATGCAGGAGAGTCATTAAAGGGTGGCAGTCACAAGCAGATCTAGCCTTCCCTCCTGCAGGGGTTGCGGGAAGGATGGGATGGATTGATAGGGACATCCCCGCTCCCCCACTGGATCTATTTCAGCACGGATAGAGGAACATAGTCTAGCTAATAAAATTGAAGGATACATCTAACAGATCAACCATTATTTTACACGTCTCAATACTGAAACCATCTGATTTAATATCTTGTCCTGTAAGGAAAGAGGACAAAAGGCAGGTTAGTTACATGTGGAAGGATATAGAAATTGGATAGTAACCCTTTAAATAGCTTGGGAGACCTCTAGGGGGCCTCCCTGTCTTCAACTGCAAAAGCCATCAGAGCTTAACAAGTACAGCAGTGCAGATACGGAGCTAGACTTTGTAGGTTTGTATATATAGATAGTGAAGAGTGCTTCGGAACCCAACTGTCTGGGTGTTTTTAATGCTGTATAGCGCAACTACTCATGCCTAGAAAGCTCAGTTCTATAACGCCTCTTCTACTACGTCCGCTGTTCAATAACCAATAATTGTGTCTGTACCTGAACCCTTCCTTTGGGCTTCGATGGGCAATGAGCAGTCTCTAGTTTGATTCTAGGCTACCGTCATTCTATGCTTCACGCTGGGCCCATTGGAGGGAGGTAATGTTACTACCACCGGCACACACACGTAGGCACGCAGCCATTAACAACCCTGGGCCTTCAGCTCCAAAAATACAAGGCTCTCTT